CACACACACACATAGACGGACACAATTACAGAAGAAACACACACACACATACAAATAAACACACACACAATTGGATAGGCAGATACACACACACACACACACACACATAAACAAACAGAAGCACACACATACACACTCCAGGAGATACACACACACACACACACACACACACACACACTTATACACACACAGAGAGAAATACACACACACAAACACACATAAACAAACAGAAGCACACACATACACACACACACACACAAATAGACAGACTCACACACACAGAAAGAAACACACACATAGACAAATAAACACACACACACACACACACATAAACAAACAGAAGCACACACATACACACAAATAGAAAGACATACAGACCAACAGACACACACGCACATACACATCATAGACATACAGAATCACACACAGACAGACACACACACACTCAGATAGACACACACACAGACTGACAAACACCCACACACACATAGATAGACACACGCAAGCACACACAGACTTACACACACAAATAGACAGACAAACAGGCAGACAGACACAATATATATACAGGCACACACTCACAGAAGGCAGACAGAGACACACACACACACACACACACACACACACACACACACACACACACATATAGACAGGCACACACTCTCACTCACACACTTTTAAAAACTTGTGGGAATTAGCCCACAGACGCCTCAGACAGGCTCAGCGTCCGCCTGCATTTCCCATTTCTCTTTGGCCTGAGGGGGAGAACATGAACACGCACCGACAGAAGTTCAGGAGCGGCTGACAGAGAACAACCAGCCGCAGACATCTTGTAGACAGGTGACCGAGGGACTAAGCTTATTAAGAACGCTCGAGCCACAGAAAAACACACAAATTCTTCATAAGTTGTAAAACCATACAGCCGGCAGTTAAAGCACACACACACCAATGATGAATGAACAGCAGAACACTGCCATTTAGATATCTTATCAGTTATGTTTATGCATGAGGGCATCTGATGAGTAAAACATATACCGGAATAGTTGGTGGTTCATTCCGCTGTGGCGACCCCTGATAAATAAGGGATTAAGTTGAGGAAAAACTAATGAATGAATTAGTTATGTTTGAGCAAAGACTATTGAATACACAAGACACGTCACTCATATAGTTTTGAATGGGAAAAGTGTAACAGTCAATATGGTGAACGAAGCCCCGCCTACTAGTACAGGAGCCAATCATTAGCCGCTTTCACACAGTGATACGGGTAAATATCCGGAAAATTAACAGAACGACTTTACCGGTAAATAAAAAAAGCGCTGTTCACACAGGCGAGGACGTTCCGGAATTTTTCTGGAAAAGAGCATTCACACATCCATTCCAAAGTACCGGTAGAATCTGACATCATTAACCAGAAATGAGCTCTAAACGGCTGCACTTGTATTTGTAAACATTTGACTTCATTACAAACTCTGTGGATGGATCAGTATTGTGAACAACTTCGATAAAAATAAAGAGGAACACTTTTGCATGTCGAGATGTACATGATATGTGTGTGTGCTGGTGCTCACGGGCTACATCACGGGCACACGCGACGCGTCACACAACTGAAGGAAGCAGAGCTTGAAGGTAAAAAAGCAACGGCTTATCATAAGCATCTTATCGATAATTATTTACACAGTTGGCATTAAGAAGGATCATAGAAACGTTATCTGACTAACATCTAGCAGCTAAATGTATCTGTAAAAATATTCAGCGGCTTTTATCTTCATAAACTGCGCGGACGTGAATGTGTCTGACTGTTCTGATTGGCTATGGTAGACGTCTCATAACAGTTGTTTTTTTTAATTGGTGATTCCAAATATGCAATGTTACGACAATTATGAACATTACGAAGCGGTTTCCTTGCCGGTTTTGACCCTCGCCTTGTTTGTTTGTTTACGTTGTATGCCGCCTGCCTTTTGTACCATTTGCCTGTGTATTGGCCACGACTCTGGATTGCCAGTATACATATCTATATCTATATATATATCTCTATATATATATATATATATATATATATATATATATATATATATATATATATATATATATATATATATATATATATATATATATATATATATATATATATATATATACATATATATACATATATATATATATATATATATATATATATGTATATATATATATATATATATATATATATATATATATATATATATATATATATATATATATATATATATATATATATATATATATATATATATATATACGTTTGCTCCTGTGTTGGCCATTGTTTGCCTGACCATCTCTGTTTAATAAACCTGCATTTGGATTCGCACTTCTGTTGTCAGCATCCCACATTACACAGAAATTGACAAGGGGCCAATTTTCAGGAGGGCTAATAATTCTGACTTCAACTGTATGTAAAAACCAAAGTATACTTTGGCTTCGGCAACATTTTCCGGTGCAGAATTATGCGTTGCCAAAGACTTCAACTTCGCAAAAAATTAACACACACTTTAGGTGCCTGCAAAGCTTTGATGTTCGGCTCTGTAAAAACACATCAAAGCAAATGGCATCTTCAAACAAATGATGCCGGAGCTCCAGCCGTAACAACCACTGTGACTAAATACTTTCACCATAGTCCTCTTTTTCAGCAGCATATCTGCTCTTTTATTCTCATTTCAAATATAAGCTTGTGCTACCTTTCTTTGAAAACATGCTACTTTTCGTAATAAATTCAAGAGCACAACCTACTAGAGAAATGCTTGTGGCAAATGAAAAAAAAAAAAAACATATTCGTGCAGCTACATAGATTTCAATGAGGTTGTTGTATAGTTTAGGTCAGGGGTTTTCAAAGTCTAAGACAGTGGGCCTCCCTTTTGACACAACTTATCCATTGGCCCCCCCCTCCTCCTAAACACGCACACAGACACACACACACACACACACACACACACATACATACATATATATATATATATATATATATATATATATATATATATATATATATATATATATATATGTGTGTGTGTGTGTGTGTGTGTGTGTGTGTGGGTGTGTGGGTGTGTGTGTGTGTGTGTGTGTGGGGGGGGAGGGGTATGTGTGAGTGAGTGTAAACAAGTATTTTAATATAACGTTTTTAAAACTAGGATGATGGTTAATATGAATAGAACAGATCCAAGAACTGTTCATCCCAGTCAAAACAGTCGAAGTTTAGCGGGTCTCATGCTGTCATTAGCCAAAATATCTTGACAAACCACACTTAAAGGTCGTGGTTCATCAGCTGGTCCTGTCCACGTAAATCCTAAACTCAAATACTGATCATCATATCGTCGTCTTTTGGGTTTAAGCCCTTAACCCCCTCGGGGGGGGTCTCAGAAACCGATCCATTGCAGGCACTTGCACACATAGGGCTCAACCTGTGCAGTGCACATGCCCTTTTTAGTCCTGGATAGAAAGTGCCCTTCCAAAATGATCAAAAGTGCCCCCGCGACGCGGCACACCCTCGGTCCAGCCCTTCAGTAGGCGCGCGACAACACCGCTCTTGAGCGTGCGCGCGACAACACAGCTGATTAGAACGCGCGCGACAGACTTGCCAAACAGAAGCGAATTCACAGCTATGGCCTTCTGGGTAAAAAAGGTTTTCTTATTTTTGACGTATTATTTTTTTTAGCTTTGTTTAATTAAAACGTTTAAATATAATAAAAAATACATATAACAATTAAACTTAATAATTATATTTTTATTATATATTTTTCTCGCGCCTCCCCTGACATGCTCTGGCGCCCCCCAGGGGAGGCGCTCCTCACACTTTGAAAACCCCTGGTTTAGGTGATGTAACATGAAAGGGCTGCATATTAAAATACAATGCATGATGACAAACCATAAACAAATTAATCATTGGCTTAAAAATAAAGGTTACTACTCAAGTTAATCAAAATACAGATCCACAATTGTGAGGCCAGCGTTTAAATTCACACATATTCAGAGATGTATTCTTTTAAGTAAGAGATTATAGATATATAATAAATATTACTATACACGTTATCAGATCCAATTGTCCAACTGCTCGTTGATGCAAATTTTTAACCAGCCAACCACATGGCAGCAACTCAATGCAATTGGGCATGTAGACATCAAGACGATCTGCTGCAGATCAAACCCAGCATCAGAATGGGGAAGACAGGTGATTTAAGTGACTTTAAACGTTGCATGTTTGTTGGTGCTAGACAGGCTGCTCTGAGTATTTCAGAAACTGCTAACTACAGGGATTTCCAAGCACAAACATATATAAACTTTACAGAGAATGGTCCGAAAAAGAGAAAATATCCAGTGAGCGGCAGTTCTGTTGGCGCAAATGCCTTGTTGATACCATAGGAAAATGGCTAGACTGGTTCGAGCTGATAGAAAGGCAATAGTAACTCACATAATCACTCGTTACAACCGATGTATCCAGAAGAGCATCTCTGAACAGACAACACATCCAACCTTGAGGCGGATGGGCTACAGCAGCAGAAGACCACACCGGGTACCACTCCTGTCAGCTAAGAACAGGAATCTGAGGCTACAATTCACACAGGCTCACCAAAACTGGACAATTGAGCATTGTGTCAACGCCACAGCCTACAGTACCGGAGTATTGTTGCTGGCCATGTCTATCTCTCTATGACCACAGTGTGCTCATCCTCTGATGGCTACTTCAAGCAGGATAACGCGCCACGTCATAAAGCGCGAATCATCTCAGACTGGTTTTTTAAACATGACAATAAGTTCACTGTACTCAAATGGCCTTCACATTCACCATAACTCAATCCAATAGAGCATATTTGGGATGTGGTGGGACAGGAGATTCACATCATGAATATGCAGCCGACAAATCTAAAGATAAGATTGTGATTGGTTTTATTTAGAGATCTGCATGGGGCAAAATTTTTAATCTCGCTCCGCCAGGTTTTAGTCCGAACCCGACCGCTCCCGCTTATATTCAACATTTGTTGTCCTGCTGCCCGACCAGCCTCGATTTTCTACCCAACGCGACCGTTCCACTAACAAAACCAAACACCACCCAGCTATACAGAGTCCAGACAGCCTATAACAAGCTGTCTGTATAAGCACACACACACATAGACACACTTCACCAAGTGCTCTCTCTCATTCACACACATACATACGCATGCTCGCTCGGGAGTCAGGAGCGATATTGTTAGATCGCCTGCTCCCGTTCAAATTACACCAGTTACAGACCACTTCCGCGCTTTATTCGGAAATTAATTTAATGCAGACCTCTAGTTTAATGCATGTTATGCTCAAAACACACCCATAACTCATTAAAATAATAAGCACAACCATGTTAGACCATGCTTCATTCTGTCCTTAAAAAGTGGATTTCAGACATGCTTTTGCGCCACACGCTTTAGACTTTGCGCCTAGATCATTAAAATAGCCCACAATGTGAAAAATTAACTGCATTTGAACTTGTCAAAATTAAAAACGAAATGCCCAAAATCACATATGGTGCCATGACAAACACAACCTGTTGTTTCGAAGGAAATTAGTGTTAAATTGTGATGGAGTGACATTAATCGAACTATGTCCTTCAAGAAAGGAACATTCAAAAAGCAGTTCATGTAAACACCATCATATTATTGCGTTATTCAGATTAAGGCGAATAATTAGATTACGGATGTCCATGTGAACGTAGCTGCTTTCTCACTCACTTGCTTTAGGATCTGCGCGGCCATGGTGTGGCTGCAGTCGAAGATAATGCGAAACTCTCGGCTCCGTTTCATCTCTTTGAGCAGAGGCCTGGTGTCCACGGTGTCCATAGGGAGCTGTCGGATCTTCAGCCTAATGTTATACCTGGACGGAGCCATAATTAACTCCTGGAGTCTGATTAAACCTGCGCAAGAAGAGTTGAGTGCCACAGTCAATCAGCAGGTATATCAGGACCTGTTCAAACCAGCCTTTAGCAGGACAGTGAATGATGAACCCCTTTTCTTATTTCTGAGATTCTCAGCAGCGGAACACTAAAAAAAGGTAAGTGGTTGCAAATAATTTATATATTGTAAAAAGCAAATTAATTTGAGTAATGTTCAACTTAATTTGTTTAAATTCAACCCATATAACTTGCAACCACATTATAGCTTAAATGGGCCTTAAAATGCTTTTAAAAAAAATAAAAACTGCTTTTATTGTAGCCGAAATGAAACAAAAAAGACTTTCTCTAGAAGAAAAAATATTATCAGACATACTGTGAACATTTCCCTGCTCTGTTTAACAAAATATAAAAAAATATAAGTAAAGAAAAAAAAGAAGGGGGGCTAATAATTCTGACTTCAACTGTATAATGTAATGCTGAACAGTAACGTGTCATTTGTTTCTTTTGGTTGTCTTCATTTTAAATGTTTCGTGATGATGTGATGGTGTGCTTTGTCTGCCGGATTTCCTCTGAACTGGGCAGGTTGTGTGATGTTTGATTAGTGGGGCGTTCTAGGGGCAGGGTTTGCATGCCACGCTGTGAGTTATTGGCCTGACAGAGGAAACGTGACATGATTTCCCCCTCACTGCTCAACCTCCCGGGCAATTGGCCCAGCCCTTTCTGACAAAAGCCCTGCCTCGCACTGGCCCGACAGTGGAAATTCAGATATTGAGAGCCATGAGCTGAAGGTAAACATACCAAAATATATTACATTAAAGGTGTTTCCTAAGTTATTTCATAATATTTAAAGGGTCATGAAACACCAAAACACATTTTTTGAGATGTTGACAGTCGTATATGTGTCCCACGCTTCTATAAACACTATTAAGACATATGTACTACACAAAAAAGTGTAAATTGGTTGTTTTTGCATTATTTCAAGCAAATTCTTCTTCTGGTTTGAAATGATTTTTTTGAAGCTGCGTCACAGCGATTAGATACTTGTGTGTATTTCAGTGTAGCGACTGGATGTCTGTACCTGCGAGTGCATCGAGACGTCTCAGAGTGTGCTGCATTCATCCATGAGAAAGACTTTGTTCAAACCAATCCACGCTATATTGAGTATGCGGTGCAACTTCATTAATATGCATGATAGCTTCGAAGACAGTTTTTACCAGTTACAGTGTTCAGATGGCAGAGAGACGACAGGTTTTGTTGCCAAAACAAGTGAAAGAACAAGAATTTGGAGACATTGGTCATCAGTGTTGCGTTTATTAATGTGCTGCGACGAAGGTTTCATTTTCATTTACATTACAGCGCACGTGACTCACGGCAGAAATACGTGTCTAAGAAATGTTTTTACCCGAGAGCTTTTCGCAGATTTCTGGATTTGATGCTCGTCTCCTTTTAAAAAAAGATGAGGTTCCACCTGGTGTTGATTGTCTTGTCTCTACAGATTTGGTAAATATGTGATCAGTGTTCTTTGTTTGTTTATTCAGATGGCAAAGTTTGTATCGTCAGGAGGACTCTTTCAGGCCGTACTCTCACTAGGTACAGTTGCCTCGAACCGGGCCAAAGCACGCTTGTCCCCCCTCCCATCTTCCCCGACGGCTCGCACTCACACCACAAACGGGCCTGGGCATGCTTACGTCATCAATGCTGCGCTGTTCAGTGAGAAGCGCTCTCTCACTCAGCAGCACAGTGGAGATTTCTCTAGTTATATCGTTTCAGTCGTTTGTTATGCAGTGACATGCAGTCATATTTCGCCAAACAGTCCTTAGAGATGCGGTGACGCAGTCAGATATTTCGCCGAACAGATCCGCCACTTTTGGCGCTCATAAACAATCAGAAAGCTCTCATGCTGCAGGAATGAGGAGGTCTGCTGAAGCCGCGCAGCTGTCGTGCAGTGAGGAGTTCTCATCTTTAATAAACTACGGCAGTCTGTGTTTACTGAACAGTAAGAATGATTAATAAATCCATATAAAACAGCCCCTTAAAAGTCACGTCTCGCTTTCAGTTTCGGACTTTGGCGCGTTTTGCACTCACACACAAGCATACCGCTCTTCACCAAGTGAACTGCGCTCTGGCCCACCTTTTCCAATCGGGCCAGGGCCGGCCAAGTGAACCATGCTTGAGCCTGATTCAGCGCACTCACACTTCTCAAACGACCCGGGAAACGGGCCTGGGCACGGTATGGATGGCATAGTGTGAGTAGGCCCTCAGTGTTTAAAGACAGACCTTAGTCAAAATGATTTAGTTACTAAGTTTACAGTACATTAATATCACCACAATATTACAGTACAATATTTTCTTATGATTTATTTGTCACTACTTGTTTAAGTTAACAAACAAATACAAATTAATTATAATTCCTAAAATTGTATTGTAGTTCCTAAAAATTTGGGTCGCAGCTTGATGACCATGTAAAAATGTGGGTCCCATGGCCAAACCAGTTGAACAGCCCTGATATAACATGCATTAAATATCGACTTTATAAAACCCTGCTTAGTGCACGTCTTCTTCACAAGGGTGTTTGTGAGCTCTAAAACTCCCAGACAGTCAATCCAACATGCACATGTCTTGTATTTTTAATAATAAATATGTTTTTATCACTTTTTTTGTTACATCTCACATGATTTGCTTTCCATTCCCGTTCTGTCAAAAGCAGCGCCGCTCGACTGCTTTGATTCAAGCAGTTTCAAGGCCTGAAGACTCGTTCTGACAGCGACAGGAACATTAAAAGACTTCTCCTTATCGCTGAAGCGCAGAGACTAAAATACACTCTTAAAGGTGACGATGAAGAGTTCATCGGGTAACAGAGTTTACGACGACACGCTTCTGGACAGAAAGTCATTATCTCTCACCTGTGCTGTCGTCGTAAACCACGGTGGCCGTCTTCCACTTGAGGAACTGCACCAGGTCTAAGATTGCGTAGCTGAGGGAGGAGTAATCCGGGTACAGGTTGGCGTAAAACGTGTCCCTGTTGTCCATCGGGTGGTGTTTCCACCGCACTTGAATGTGTGGCACCTCCAGGGCATTGCAGATGGACTGTACGGCGTTGGATGAGGAGCTGTGAGACGGTCCAAATATTGCCACTACACCTAAAGACAGCTGGTCGCACGCTGGCGAGAGCAGACGCCGGGTCATGTGGGAAGAAATGTCAAAACAGAAATGTCACTGCATGCAGAATGTTCCCGCGTACGGTTTCATCATTCCACACACTGAGTAAATAATTCATACAGAAACTAATTAAAATAGAATTTTCTATTGTACACAGTGGCTCAGTGGTTAGGGCTGTCGCCTCACAGGAATGAGGTCTCTGGTTCAAGTCCCTGCTGGGACAGTTGGCATTTCTGTGTGGAGTTTGCATGTTCTCCCCGTGTTGGTGTGGGTTTCCTCCGTGTGCTCTAGTTTCCCCCACAGTCTAAACATGCGCTAGAGGTGAATTGAATAAATTGACTAAATTGGCTTTAGTGTATGAGTGTGTGTGTGTGTGCGTGTGAGGCCTCGTTTACACTAGTGCGTTTTAGTTTTAAGTTTTTAAGATCAAAAACGATCCGCGTCCACACTAGTGTTTTACCTAGCGTTACTGAACATATCTCCGTCCACACTACGCCACCAAAAACGTATATCACGTGACCATTCGCGCACTCAGGGCATGCGCGTTCTAATAAAAACAGGAAGCATGCGTCTTGCTCGCCATTTGATTATTGTTAGTCAACAAACGCCGGTTGAACAATGAACGCGATGGCAAAGAAAGCAAGAGAGGTATTTTTGTGGACAGACGACGAGGTCGAGTTGTAACTAAACGTAACAATTGAATAACTGCACAAGGGCGCCTAAAACAGACAATAGTGCAAACAACGCTCCCATTTCTGTGTCCATGTTGTTGTTTACAGTGAAGGCTGGTCTGCTGTCTTCCAGTAGCGTTAAAGCCATGTGTTATAGTCATGTGATAGGGGCTTGATGAATAAGGGAAGGATACGCAATGACACAAAAGCCCCAATCAGGTAGCGAATCTCAGCAGCCACGCCTCCGTTTTCAGATGTCTCCGTTTTCCCTCATCCACACTGAGATGGAGCAGCAGCATTTCAGAATAAAAACGGCCTCTCTAGCATTTACAAAACGCTCCGTTTTTGGCACTCGAAAACTCTTGCGTAGTGTGGACGGATGGCGTAACCGCAGCAAAACGTATGTGTTTTCAAACTAAAACGCATTAGTGTAAACGGGGCCTGAGTGTGTATGGGTTTCCCACAAATGGATTGGAAGGGCATCTGCTGCGTAAAACATATGCTGGATAAGTTGGCGGTTGATTCCGCTGTGGCGACCCCAGATTAATAAAGGGACTAAGCCAAAAAGAAAATGAATGAATGAATGACTGTATAACAATAATTAATATTTTACAGTACTGTGTCGGATGGGTTTAGGGTTGGGGTGGGGGTAAGCTTTAAAAAATACAATTGATAGCATAAATAATACTCAATACAACTACTGTTTTTAGGTTAGGGTGGGGGTAGACGTTAATAAAATACAACAAATGTGAAATTTAACAAATAATATAAATAATTCTCATTAACTTTCGGCCGCAACTGTATCCAATCTAGCAACAATCAAACAAACTGTCATATTTTAACGCATGGCGGGGGGAAATGGACTTTAATGCAGTGCTTCTTGTCCAGTGCTTCTTGTCCAAAGTGAAACCCACTTTATATCGTATATCTAACAGGCAGTGAAGATCGCTAATTTTTAAAGAAATCAGATCTTAAAGGTGGCCATTTCGAAATGAAAAGACGTCATCGGAAGCCATTGGGTTGCCAAAGTCAGTGTGCATATAGGCCATTTCAAGAGTTCAAACTTAGCTGATGATTGGTAATAAGCTAGTTTGGCATGCTGTCCCGGGAGAGAGCCCTGAGCTCATGAGAGCCTCGAGCCCAGGGCTCCCTCATGTTGCAGGGTAAGAGGGGAGTTTGAGCTCGGGTAGATCACGAGAACCCCCCCCCCCCCCCCCCCAGTTAATTTACTTAAGTGTCATGTTTTTGGGAGTGTGGGAGGAAACCGGAGGACCTGGGGAAAACCCACGCAAGCACGGGGAGAACATGAACTCCACACGAAAATGCTGACCAGTTGGGTAGATGCCCGAACCGGAGGCATTTTGCTGTGAGGCCGCAGTGCTAGCCACTGGGCCGCCGTGCTGCCCTGTAGACAAAAGAGGAGGCGAAGGGGTGGAAGGGGGAATTCTTCAAGACGAAGATGACTAAAGGTAAGGTGTTTGGTTATTTATACTTGGTTAGGAATAGTCTGATTGTTGGTTCGTACATTAGCTTGACTCGGGGCCAGCCGTGTCAATCATAAGCACGTAATACTCAGACCAGCCTGTCTAGCACCTCTCGAAATGAGTTTATAAATAAACTTCACTTAGATAACACGTAGTAGCTAACACGAAAAGGTATTAGAAATTGTGAATTTGTATAAATTGTAAAATAGGATAATCTGTTAAATATTTTAGATAATTATATACTTTTTTGTTATTGGTCTTTAATTAAATAAGGTTATTTATTAGGGATGTAACGGTATTGTAAATACCGTCATACCGCAATATTAATTTTTTTCGATATTACCGAAGTCGCATGACTCGGTAAAACTATAGGTCTTCTGAGAAAATTAGCTCAGGCGAATGAAGCGAACGGGAGGTAGCGAAAACTACAATTCCCATCAGCCCATGCTTGACCATCTTCCCTTGCGGTCTGTTGTCACTACAGATCCAGTAATGCGGAAATGGAGTGTGCTGCTAGAAGCGGGGATAAAAAAGAGCTGGAAAACTCTAAAGCGGGTGTTGTCGCCGCGCGCGTACTGAATAGCGGTGTTGTCGCGCTAGTTCTTATCAGCTGTGTTGTCGCGCGCGTACTGAATAGCGGTGTTGTCAGCACACTGTTCAGATTGATGCAGACATGAGACCTCTATCTCACTCATGGCTTGTCCTCTCAAGTGGGGGAAAGACAATGCACAACGTTACCCACTGCTGTTAACCTGGGCCAAGTCATATCTCTCTTGTCCCAGAAACCTCAGTCCCAAATGAGAGGGTTTTTTCTGTTGCAGGGGACATTGTAAATGCCCAGAGATCCCAGCTTTTACCAGATTATATTTATATGATGATTTTCCTTTAAACCCATCTCTATCTAAGTGAGTGAGTGATTAAATGTTGAATGTGATGAGTTTTCAACAATACTAAATTGAAACTTTATTTTTTACATGGTTTAATATTTTTTTGTTATTAAAATTGAAGTTCCTGTTTCAAAGCTTACAGATAGATGGCTAATTTGTATTTCATTGACACTTTTGGCACTTTTTTGGAGAATTTTATAAGTTTAGTTTTTTCCTGTAAATGATTCAATAAATACCGTACCATGACATTCATACCGAGGTATTACCGTACCGTGAAATTCTGATACCGTTACATCCCTATTATTTATATGAAATCACCTAACTGGAGATCTATTTCATCTTGTCCCTTTTGAGAAATAGTTCATCTCTACTCATAAGTACATTTTTAATGACTTATTTTTTACTTTTAACTGAGTAGATTTATGGACATGTAACTTTACTTTTACTTGAGCAAAAAAAAAAAAAAAAATTGTAAGTAACAGTACTTTAACTTGAGTAGAAGTTGATTAGTCTTTCCTCCTTTAGTAATACAGTTGTTAGCATTGAACAGTGATTGTGGTTTAAGCACAGCCACACTGCTTACCTTTTCTGGAGGCCTCAAAGCTGTCGTAGATATTAATCCTCTGAATGTCGTACGTTAGCGTTGTGTTGGGTAATAACGTCCTGTTTCTGTTGATGTTGTTAACAGCAAACTTAAAGGCCAGTTCCTCAGAACTAACAAGAGCCACAGGTCCATCCGTCTGCTCGAAAATCCCCCCTAAAAAACACAAAAAAACAAGAGAAATCTCTGTCAAATGAACCAAAGCTGAACCCGGAGATGAAGCCTGGCATCACATCCCAACCTCTGGAGGTGTTTTGCATTTAGAGCTGTCGGCGAGCTCGCTTGTGTACTTAAGGAACCACTATTCGATCTGCCGAGGAGAAAGAAAGAGTCTCTGCCAGTCACAGCTCAGGCTTTTAAAGTTCAAGGCCATAATGGAGATGAGGAGAGCGAAAGAGAGAAAGAGAAAAGTAAATGGCCTCATCAAAGGTACCTTGCCTCCTTAAGGCCTGCAGGTCACCTTTCATTCCCGGATAAAATAAAATAAAATAGATTCGCACACGAGCCTATAGCCTGGATTTTTGTATTTCGCACACAAGTTTGAAAGTTTAAAGCTGTTTTATTTTCAGCTCAAAGTCATTTCATAACAATCTGCTGAGATTTCCAGAAATGCATTTAACGGCCGTGAAAATTCCACCAATAGAAGAGCTGGAGAAGCAAACTCCGTGTTTATTGACTTGGCCGTGCAATAGAAACCCCATAAAAACAATAAAATGATAACATCTGGAGCAATCTCCAGCCCTTGAGGATTAATACTGTTAGACCTGCTTCACCTTTTCCACAGTATATCAGCGATATGACGGTCTGGAAGCCTAAGACATATGAGCAGGGAGAAATATTGGAGGAGCAGAGTTTCTTGGGTTGTACAGAATTCAATTTCACGTACTATCATGCTATTTGGGATTTAGAATATTAGTAGTGCTTTCCACAAATAGGGAGACAGGATAGTTTCTTAAACTGGAGTGCCTGGAAGTTATTAGGGCAGTGTATTTGGATAATCTGTCAAACACAATGTTATTCTTTATTTTATCAAAAAATCTGACGGGAAAAAAAAAAATATTAAATGGCGGTTCATTTCGCTGTGGTGATCTAACTAAAGGAAAATGAATGAAAATGTATTCTTAACATTGTTTAAATGTGCTTAACACCACTACTGAACATGTTTTCTTTAATGTTCCTTACAGCCCAAACATTATTACTTATTAATGATATGGTCCATAAGTATTTAGACATCGACACAATTCTAAAATGTTAGACTGTAACACCAGGGGTGTCCAAACTCAGTTGTGGAAGTCCTGCAAAGTTTAGCTCCAACTTCCTTCAGCACACCTGCCTGGAAGTTTTTAGTATACCTAGTAGGAGTTTGATTAGCAGGTTCAGGTGTGTTTAATTGGGGTTGAAACTAAAATATGCAGGACACCGGCCCTCCAGGACCGTGTTTGGACACCCCTGCTATACAATAACACAATGGATTTGAAATGAATCAAACAATATGTGCTTTAACTGCAGACTGTCACCTAGAAGTGTGAACCTACTCTGGTCTCGCGGTTCGGTTCGTTTACGATTATTATGCCATCGATTTGGTCAATTCGAATATTTATTTATGATATGGTCCATAAGTATTTGGACATCGACACAATTCTAACATTTTTGACTCTAACACCAGGGGTGTCTAAACTCAGTCCTGGAAGGCTGGTGTCCTGCATAATTTAGCTCCAACTTCCTTCAGCACACCTACCTGGAAGTTTTTAATATACCTAGTAGGAGTTTGATTAGCTGGTTCAGGTGTGTTTAATTGGGGTTGAAAATAAAATATGCAGGACACCGGCCCTCCAGTACAGAGTTTACATTAACACAATGGATTTTAATTGAATCAAACAATATGTGCTTTAACTGCAGACTGTCAGCTTTATGTTGAGGGTATTTACATCCAAATTGGGGAACGATGTCAAGTCTGTTGTGTTGGTTTATAAAGCCAAATATATTAGAATTGTGTCGATGTCCAACTATTTATGGACCGAACTGTATATCTAAATAACCAATCGAAATGAAGAATGTTACAATTATAATTACATACAACATAAAAAATAGGTTATATTGAGCATATAACTCATATGCATATGCCTGTGTTGGTGTGGGTTTCCCCCACAGTACAAACACATGCGCTATAGGTGGATTGAATAAACTAAATTGGCCATAGTGTATGAGCATGTGTGTGAATGTGAGCGTGTATGGGTGTTTCCCAGTACTGGGTTGGGGCTGGGAAGGGCATCGAAGGCGTAAAATATATGCTGGAATAGTTAGCGATTCATTACACTGTGGTGACCCCTGATGAATACTTATAACTAAGCCAAAGGACAATATGAAGGAAAGATATTTGTGTATTGCTATACATTCTGTATGTATTAGGCATTTAAACCTGCATAGACGCATAAGCCCACATGCAATCTGTACTTCTCTGTATCTGATTCATGTACAATGCATTTTGTACTTTAATATTTTCTGTCTTTTAGTAGATATATTATATTAGAGACTTACTTTTGTTTCCAAATAACGTGGATCTAATTGGATTTGCATTTTAAACATTAAATAAAAGTTAAAAAGATATATTGTTTTACACATATTTCACATAATAAGGTTTTAGTCTTGATACTCCCAAAATAATTATGTAGAAATTCGCAGATTTTTATCAAAATTCTCAGCAGAAATAGCAAAAAAAGTCAGCAGATTCTCTCTGGCCCTACACATAACTAACGCTCTCTGCGTTGGACTTTAGAGCAGCTTTTACTTGGTCAATGGTGTGGTCTATTTCAATTTCTTAAAATAGCAATGTGCAAATAATGCGCCTTAACACACCTCCTTTTTAGACCAGCACACCCATGAGTCCACAAAGTGCCACAAACAGATTTGTTATTTAAACAACGTGGTGCAAAACGTGAAAATTACAGTTGCGCTCGACTGAAAATAGCAACAATATCGCATCAAACACATCTTGCTCCAGGTGTATGATAGGAATGTCCCAGAAATGGAGGCGTTACCCTGCACCAACATACCCCCACCCACACTTCATTTAAGACGATGCGCCAACACTCCCCACCCCCCAAGCCGTTCATCTACGTTGCGTTGATTGAGTCAAATGATTTGTTTAATTCTCCCTCTGCTTCCCAGTCTCTCATTTATTTAACATATCCATAAAAATAAAATAAATGATGAAACACCAACCTTCTTTCTTAAAAAAAACGCCTACTGATTTTGACAGTGTGTGTGTTTGTGTGTAAGCAAACCTGATAAACACTACGCCATACACAGAATGACCCTTGGGCTTTTTTAGCATTTCTTTTTAGCGTCTCCAATCCTGCGTTTAGACTCGGTAGCATGTAGATCCAAGAACAGCATGAATATTTAAGAGTTCTCGAGTCAGACCTCAACGCAGGTCAAGAACAACCTGAACATGGCTTATATTCTCCCAGAGGAAAAGAGCTCAAGTGTGCGGCTGCGGGGAAGATCACAGGCCCCACAGCCTCCGTTGAGCCCTGCGCACTATTTATGACTCCAGCCCTGCTTGACTTCTGAAGGGACGTGATGCATAAACTCCCTGGAAAGAGCCCGGCGCATTAAAATAAATGAATCCTGCCGTTTTTGTAGGGGAAATCTCATTAGAGTACATTAAGTAATTGCTGGAGTATATACTAATTTGACTATTAAGAGGATAAAATGTGCATTGCTCGGAAGTACTAAAATAGATTTAATAAAAAGGGAAGAGCAGTTGCTGCGAGGAGGAAAAAAAAAAAGAGGGAAAATGCTGTTGTTTCCAGACACGCAAGCCATAAAGCGAAACGCATTAATCAAAATGAGAAAGAAAAGGCGTTTGCTTCCGATCAGGGGAATCTCTGTGAATAAACAGACAGGACAAGTTAATGGCGTGGGATATTTATGTTGATGTACGGCTCTGCGCTAAACAGGGGTCTTTAAAGGGTCGGATGTAAACTGAGCCGTAACTTTAGATCAGAGATTTCCTGCACATCTTTCTCTAACATCAGTCAGATTAAGTTGCGATTAACTTGTTTCCTGTTTTGAAACGGCTTTACAAAGGGGGACTAATTAATCTCTTGGGTTGTAGCCTGATAGAGAAAACATGTGCTCATTATGGCTGCTACCTTTGCTAATATGGCTGCCGGTAGATCTCTTTACACTAAAAAAAAATGATGTTAGCGATTTGTTCAAACTACTTATTTAACCCTTGTGTGCTGCTGGGGATGTTTTCATCCACTCTGGAGGTCCTAATTTGGCCACAACTTTATCTCTGTTTCAGGTTAGTAAAAAAAAATCATAATTTGACACATATTTTGAAGAAAAAAAGCTTAAAAAACTCAACAATACACTCTGGACAAACTGACTAGCCTTTCGTTATGTTGGGGGCTGTTTTTGCCCCATTGACTTCCATTATAATCACATTTTTTACTGCAAAGCATAGACAGCATATAATCATGACTTCTTGATAGCTGGTGTTTTTAAAATTTGTGATTTTTACAGTTGTTTTACACAAAAACAAATGATGTTAGCGGTTTGTTCAAACTACTTATTTAACCCTTGTGTGCGGCTGTGGATGCTTTCATCCACTCAGGGGATCTTAATTTGGCCACAACTTTCTCTGTGCTTCAGAAAATATAATAATTTTAAGTGACAAATCTTATTTTGACACATATTTAAGGAAAACGCTTCAACATTACACTCTCGACAATTTGACTACCCTTTCGTTATGTTGGGGGCTGTTCTTGCCTCAATAACTTCCATTATAATCAATTTTTTTGATTGCAAATCCTTGACCGCATATAATCATGCATTCTTGATTGTTGGTGTTTTTAAAATGTGTGATTTTTACTGTTGATCATCAGCTGCAGTACAAAGAAAGCTTAGTTTCTATCTTAAAATGCTAGGGTTATATGGAGTATAGTGTGTGTGTGTGAACTAATTATTCTCTTAGATTGTAGCATGATAGACAAAACATGTGCTCATTATGGCTGCTATGTTTGCTAATACGGCTGCTGGTATATCTCTTTACAATTCAAAATATATATATATATATATATATATATATATATATATATATATATATATATATATATATATATATATATATATATATATATATATAT